GAATTAAAGGCACGATTATGTAGTTCACCGATTCTAAAGATGTATAATCCGAAGGCCCGTACAGAAGTGCATACGGATGCGTGCACTGATGGCGTAGGAGGCGTGTTGTTGCAGGAAGATGAGGAGAAACTCTTGCATCCAGTTTCATATCTTAGTAGAAAAACAACGAAAGAAGAGTCTAATTATCACTCTTACGAACTAGAAGCGCTAGCGATTGTAACTACTCTTGAACGATTTCGTGTATATCTCCTAGGAATTCACTTTACTATTAAGACAGATTGTAATAGTTTGAAATTGTTAGCGTCAAAAAAACATATGTCTCCGAGAGTAGGTAGATGGTTTGTGAGACTAAGTGAATACAACTACACGATAGAATATCATCGCAGTGAGAGTAACCATGTAGCGGACGCATTGAGTCGGAATCCGGTCGAGAATGCGAAAGAAACCGATTTGATAGGATTACCAGTCTTGGGTATAAATATAATAACGGATTGGGTTGCAGCAATGCAGCGAGCGGATAAAGAAATAATGGAAATTCGCGACAAATTAGAACAAGGAGACCAGAAAACACACGAAAAGTATACTATGCGTAACGGTAGGGTCTATCGAATCACGAAGGGGAGATGGAGGTTGTACGTACCAGACGAATTGTGCTATGAAATTGTATCAGAGGCACACAAAAACCTATGTCACGTCGGTGTCGATAAGACGTTAGCAGCGGTAAAAGAGACATATTATTTTCCGCGGATGAGGGAATTCGTTACCAAATATATTAATCGTTGTATAAACTGTCTATACTATAAAACGACGACTGGGAAACCACCGGGTTTATTACACCCCTTGGACAAGGGCAACGAACCATTTGACGTAGTTCATGTTGACCACTTGGGGCCATTTATTGTGACAGAAAGGGGTAATAGATATATAATTGCGATTGTCTGTGGATTTTGTAAATATAGTATGCTTAAGGCAGTGTGTGATACTAGTACGGAGGAGACACTAATTTTTCTTAAAGAATTTGTGTCGCATTATGGGAAACCTAGGCGCATCATTACAGATAGGGGTACTGCTTTCACGTCAGGCGAATTTGAGCAATTTTGTCAAAACTCTGACATAAATCACGTGAAAATAGCTACCGCAACACCACGAGCGAACGGGCAAATAGAACGTTTAAACAGATTTATACTTACCTGTATAGCAACGACATGTAACGCCGACGGGAACGATTGGGATGTATATATAGCGAAAGTGCAGTGGTCTATTAACAACGTCGAACATAGTGTTACAAAGCGAACGCCGTACGAAATTGTTTTTAATAAAAAGGGTGTAGGTATAGATACTTGTCCGTTAACGCGCGAATTACTGGAATTAAACAAAACCGTCGATAGCGAAGAAAATCGAGAACCAGTACACGAGTTACTAAATACGAATCGCGAACGAATGAAGTTACGCTACGACAAACATCGCAAAGAAGCCCGAATATACGAAGTAGGCGAATTGGTGATGGTTAAAAGCGATACACCATCCACAGGACAAAGTAGGAAACTCGAACCAAAGTATAAAGGTCCATATGAGGTTGTAAAGGCATTAGGAAACGATAGATATTTAATTCAAGACATAGAGGGCGAACAGCAAAGCAATCGAATGTATAAGGCAATCATTGCCGTAGATAGATTAAAGGCAATTAATAGTTCATAAACCATGTTAGAAGTAAGCGAAAAGTAAAATTAAGATCACATAATTAATTATTATTATTCGTCGCCGAGGACGGCGTCGATGTCAGGAAGGGCCGAGTTGATACAATCGATAACCGGTCAATACCGGAATCGCGAGCCACGAGCCGTCGGTGGGGAGAGCCCCCTCCTCTGAGGTGTGAGTCCACGAACAACGCGGAATTCGGCAGTCGCGATTAGAAAGATTAACGAGTGTGATCTCGATCCATAATTGTCTTGTATTCCTTTAATTTACAATAAACTAATTTGTAATATTGTAACATTGTTTTATCTTGTTTATATTTTTTTCCTTTATATATTTTATTTTTTTAATTTTTCCTTATTCATATATTCTGTTATATTAATCTGTTATATTATATTATTTATTACTATATTATAATATTTTAAAATTACAATTATGAGCGGTGATGAGGAAAATGTGATTACTGCGTCTTCTAGTCGTATCAGTGAAAGTTTAGTGCAATCCAATCGTTTTAGAAGTGACGTTTGGAATCATTTTCAAAAATTAAATCCTACCACAGCCCAGTGCAATATTTGTAATAAAAAATACAAAATCAAACACAGCAACACAAGTTCTCTTCTACGACATCTAAGAATAATGCATGGTCCAGTAATTAATTCGAAATCGACGACATCAACCGAACCTGATCCTACCACAGAAAAAACTATTTCATATTTGGACGAAAATTCAAGCAGAGCCCAACAATTAACATACGGAATTGCACGCATGATGGCACGAGATTTGCAACCTTACAGCCTTGTGGATGACGATGGATTCCGAACGTTAATGAAGATTGCAGAACCAAGATATAAAATTCCTTCACGGACCACGTTTTCCCGAACAATTATCCCAAAAATGTACGAGGATCTGAAAGTACATGTAAAAAACGAAATATCCACAGGTATCAATTAGACTTAATATTTTAGTAATACTTTGTTTTGTAATTATTCTTTCTTTTTTATATGACATGTTGTTTAATTCATATTAGCAATAAGAAGCAACAGTGTATTTGCATTTACGACGGACGGCTGGACGTCGCGAGCTGTGCAAAGTTACATGTCGTTAACAGTACACTATATAACACCGGAGTTTGTGTTAAAACACAATATACTAAATTTAGAACATGTACCAGAAAAGCATACTCACAAATACATACAAAGCACCATATTTAATTCACTGCAAACATGGAGTATTGATATAGAGAAACCTGCATTTTTTACTACCGATAATGGTCGTAACATAGCAAAAGCAATAAATACATATGAAAAGTGGACGAGGATTCCTTGTTTCGGTCATTGTTTACAATTAGTAATAAAATCTGCCATGAAAAATTATAAAAAATACGAAGAACTCCGGAAAAAATGCCGATCCATAGTTACCTTTTTTGCAAAATCGACCACTGCTAGAGAAAAATTTATGAATGTACAGAAAACCTTAGACGATAAACAAACACCATTAAAATTAATACAGGAAGTAGATACAAGGTGGAGTTCGACATATGCCATGTTCAAAAGATTTATTGTGTTACAAAAATCGTTGAATGTAATACTATGTGAAGAATACATGCCAGATAATTTAACTATAGAAGAGTGGAATTTCATGGAAGCCCTAATAATGATTCTCGAACCACTAAAAGAGGCAACAGAAAATATGAGCGGAGATTCGTATCCTACCATATCCCACTACTTCCCCATGTATTTTGCATTAATGAACGTATTACAAGAAGAATCGGCAGAAAATGCATTAATTACTAATATTTCCAACAGCGTTCAAAACGCATTGAAGGTAATTTTAATTATTCATCGCAAAACTACAATAAAACAATATTAAAAAATAGACAGAAGAAATTATATTAAATCAAAAATATAATATTTTACTTGCAGGAACGTTTTGAACCAATTATTCAGAGTAATTGGATATATTATCACAGTATGCTACTAGACCCACGTTTTAAAGACCACTTGTTACAATCGACAGAAAAACATATAATACATGAACAATGTAATGAAAGAATTTCCACAATTTACAATAAAACTAACGATAACAACAAAGAACAGGGCAACATTCCAAGCACCAGTAAAAGCTGTACGTTTGTAAAGTTACACATATGTACACTTTTTATTCTTTAATTTCATCAATTTCAAAATTTATCATTATGTTATAATTTGTTGATTAGGTGACACAAAATCAAGATTATCTCATTTTTTTTATAAGACGCTGGGCAACACAGAAGAAGGTCCAGAAACGTTTACAACGCGTAAAAATAGAGAAATACAAACATACTTCGCTGAAAATTTAGTACCGCGGAAAACAAATATTATAGACTGGTGGAAATCAAATCAGACACGATTTCCAATACTGTCTCGAGCAGCTAAAGATTGTCTTGCTGTACCAGGAACACAAGTAAAAAGTGAACGCTTATTTTCTACTGCCGGAAACATAGTAATGCAAACACGAGCACGATTGCTGCCAGTAAATGTACAAGGACTATGCTTCTTACATGAAAACTTAAAATAAAGTATTAATACATTTATGTTAAAAAACAGTTTCATATGCTTTTATTACTATCAAATGCCCAACAAACAATCGAACCGTAGCGTCGAGTAGATCGGTCGAGCAGCCCGAAACGTTCGAGCCGCCCGAGAGTTCGAATGTCTCGGGAGCCCGCTCGAGCCCGCTCGACTTTCTTTAGCTCGATCTCTAACGACTCGGGCGCCCGAACACATGAGACGGGCTGCACACCTGCTATAATCACCATCGAGTCCGCGATTCAAGCGAGCGAGATTCAAACGACAAGTCGCGTATTATAATACATATTACTATTGTATGAAATTCAATGATAGCAAATCAAGCCGGGAAAACCGAATATTGTAAACTTTCTTTACGGCCGCGTTCAGGATCGATTGTTTCACGATATGGACGTGACTTCTCCTCTATTTTTGAGAATTAAAATTTCGAGACCTTTTTATTTACTTGATTTGCCCGCGTTGAATTTCATACATAGTAATATCACAGCACAGCCGACTCTAGTAAGTACTAGCCGTGCTATGAAACGTGGCAACACCGCTCATGTGCGGATCGGGAGTCCTATTTTCAATAGTGGAGTTTTATGTTCAGGATTATAATTAACGTTATTTTGCGATATAAAATTATACTAATATACAGTATTTTTTATTAATTATGTATAAGGAATATATGAATATCACAACTATAGTAAGTAGAAGTAATACAGAAGTATATTAATATTTATAAATGTGGTATATATTTTGTGGACTGTCGGAATAGTTTGGTGTTGTGATGCATTATATTTGAAATATTTACAGAGATTTCAAGAAAATAGAAGTGTGAAACAAGTTAAAACCATCTTTGAACCAAACTGAAGGATTTAAAAATTGATAAAGGTATGTATAAGTTAATAGAGACCTGAAATAGGCAAAATTATTGGTACGAAGCCAAACAGGTTAAGTGCCCGTGGAAAAGAGGTTAGCATAATTAGCTATTGAAAGGAACAATTATGGAGTTAATTATAAAATCGTGTTAGAGGACAGTATGATAATTGTAAAAAATTTCCTCACCACCCTAGGGGTATTTACCATGGCGCGTTACCTTTTTTTTTTATTATAATGGGTGGTTCGCCAATAGCCATATCATCCCATTTTCTAAAATAAAATTAATATTTTTAAATAGAACATAACAAAAACATAACTTTTGTATTCTTAAAGAAATAAAGTATTACATTTTGAAATAATAATAAATAATTTTGAATAATATTAATAACAAAACATATCAAAACATACTTTGAAATTCTCTTGAAATACAACTAATAAAACTTTGAATCTTGTGAAATAGTATTCATAATAAAAATATACTAAGCAAGTAAATAAAACTCTATTAATGTATTAAAACATATTGAAAGGAATAAGTTAAATATATATAAAAATTAATGTTTTAAGAAAGATAAAATTTAAAAAAATCATTGAAAATCTAGTTCCTATTAAAAGTTTTTAATTTACGATTTTTAGAAGTGATGTCTGTACGTGTTTCCAACTGACTATTATTTACAGTTTTCACATAATCGTTTAATAAAATATTTGAAAAAATTGATAATAATTTAAACCAAATACTTTGGTAAGCTCGACCACAAACGCATGTATCTGAAAATGCTAAATAATGTATGTCTGATTGAATGCTAATATATGTTAATTTACATAAAATATGTTTATGATTCCAGATTGCAAAAATTGAGATTCTAAATTGCCATCATTTATTATGGCTTCCATTATTGCATACATATGAATAAATGAGGCTATCGCTTCTTCAGTGGGGGCAGAAAGGCCCCCTCTTTGTAAGTGATCAAAATATACATCGCTTACAGTTTTACCTTTATCCTCCACAACTAATAAACGACATATATTGCATTTAATTTTTTAGCAACAGAATGGGACCCATAACCAGAATATAAATTTTAATGGAATCATCTACAACACAATCGGACAAGTATTCGGTATCGAAGATTCCTGAGAAACAAGTCACATCAGTAGGAAGATCATGAAGATCGTTATTATTGTCATCACAAATTCGAAATTTATTTTTGATTTCAGTAGAGAAAACGACTTTGCCGATTTTGTAAATATATGTTTTAATCTAATTTTTTTTTCTGCATGAATTATTTCGTTATATGACACATGATAATTACAACCAGATAAAAGTCTATAATTTCCAAATCGTTTTTTCTAATTTTTCGGTTGTAAAATGGAGGGTACTACATTCCTTATAAGCCTTGGACATCTCAACAAAACATTCTCCAGTACACCATTGGGCGATAGAATACCGTGGTACCTTTCAATATCAGTTTCTGCAAAATGCAAACTACAGACGGCAGAATATTTTGATGGTGTCCAATTCTTACGAGGAATAGCAACCCTCCATTTCTCCCGCAATTCCTCATCTTTGGGGAATAAAAATATAGAATTGTAATTATTATCTTTTAAGGTACTATCATAATTTCCCTTGCAATTGGGAACACAGCAACGCCGTGGCATTATTAATGAATATGTGAAATTTATAAAAAAAGTGTATATAAAACAAAATGTCCCAAAAATGCTATAGATTATATTTATATACATTTATATACAAAATGCTATAGATTATTATTATTTGAAACATTTGAAAGATAGGCGGGAGACCGGAAGGCCGGTAGATGGAGCCTATGTAGCCCAGAGGCCGGTGGGTAGTGGGAGGCTGGGTGGCTGTTACGGTAGGTTGGGCTAGGTATATCGAAGCCGGACTCCCGCGGTGTTGCTATTTTATTATAGCACGGCTAGTACAACTAGAGTCGGCTGTGGTAATATACATTATAGTACACGAATTTGTTTGAATCGCGTACTCGACGGTGATTAATCTAGTTTCAATAAATTCCCGTCGCGGCGCTATATGTACTAAACTCGAATTCACGCAATAGCGTAACAATAGAAATGGATGCCATTCTTCAATTTAGTATTAAAATTATCGCCAAAAAAATTCTGACAAAACATTTATTATTGATTAATATTGCTACTTTCTTGAAATAATTATGCAATTTATTAAATTCAAAATGTTGGATCAAAAGTTCGTTTCAATCGAAATGGCTAGTTTCACATTGCCGTAGTGAGGATGATTTATAGATAAATGTTAAATTCAAATAGCTGGTCCTTTTCGTCAATGAAGTCGTATTTCTTGACATAAAAAGGTTGAATCTCGAAAAATAATACTCGAATAACGTATTATCTGCATCGATAACGGAAGAATTCACGAAGATGCCAATATCCAATAAAAAAATAGTGTCGAGAGGTTAGGAATGTTTATTGACAACAACTTGCTGGTCAAATAGATTCCATGACACTTCTACCACTAAAATCGTCGTCAAAGAATTTTGACAAGATGATTAGAAAAAAGTTTCACATAAAACTAAACATTCCAACATTATTAATTCTAATATGTATCACTCTTTTGTGCGTGCATTATTTGCCTTCCACAAAGTGTTCATCCAATATGCAAGAATTGAAAAGCAAGTCGAAATTTAGGCTCGTGATACTCATACTCTCCATGCCTGATAATTTAGAGCAGAGAGCTGTAATTAGAAAAACTTGGCTGGGGCAAAAATATGCTACCATCGAGCATCTGTTCGTAATAGGAACCTTAGATATACTACCAGAGCAACGAGAAACTCTTCAATCCGAGAAACACAAATTCAATGACTTGCTTTCTACTGCCAAGATTACCAGACGCATACGCGACTCTGACAAAAAAGGTTTTATATGCGTTTAAGGAGGTCTACGAGCATTATGACTTCAATTTCTTGATGAAATGCGACGACGATTCGTTTGTTCTGGCGAACAAGATTCTGAAGGAGTTAGATAAGTGGGAAAGCAAAGGCACAAGGCGGGAATTATATTGGGGTTTCTTCAATGGAAAGGCCCAAGTCAGGAGAAGCGGACCTTGGAAGGAAACAGAGTGGATACTATGCGATTATTATCTTCCATATGCACTGGGAGGTGGATATGTTCTGTCATACAATCTAGTGAAGTTCATCGCATCGAACATGGACGTTCTCAAGTATGATCTTTGGAAATGTGGAAGTTAGATGTTAATTAACATTTTATGTGTTTTTAGATTGTACAAGGCAGAAGATGTGTCTGTTGGTCTTTGGCTAGCCCCGTTAGCAAACATCGAAAGGAAACACGATGTACGTTTCGATACGGAATACAGATCCCGTGGATGTTCTAATCAGTACATTGTTACACACAAACAGACTATTGCTAGCATGAAAAATATGTTTGAATATTTCCAAGCATCCGGAGCGCTGTGCGCAAAAGAAACAAGAAATCGTATGAGCTATCATTATAATTGGACAGTTCCGCCTAGTCAATGTTGCAATGTGCAATCTGGTATTCCTTAATGAACAATTTTCTTTGTTTATCTACTCTAGTCATTACTTTTTTAAACTATACATATTTAGAGTATATCGGTAAGTATGGATTTTTCATTGATAACGAAAACACTTATGCTTATTGTTTAATCATAATAATAGGCTTTGCAAAATATCATCATACCAAAATGGTACATTTACTGCTTGTAAATATAATTTGTATATACACATTTCAATAGAGATAGAAATTAAAATTTGTGTTTCTGTAAATGAAATATATTTTTCTCACTTGTACATACAGAGACTTGTTCATGTAATTTTATTTTAACAAAAAAACTTATTCTACACAGCATCATTTACATTTATAAAATATAAAAACATTAATATTTTCAGTTCAATACTATAATTAAATACTTACACGATAAGAAAGAACTTTTTCGAGAATCGGTCAAGAGAAACAATAGAAGAATGTAAAGCTCTCGAATTTCAGGTATTTATAATAAATTACTACTTTGTACATCTAGAAAGGACAATGAACGTGGCCGATTCTCGAATTTTGTTCCCTGCGATAAGCTGGTATTTTACTATATTTTTTGTTGCATTCAATATTGCCAATAATATTACGTTTAACATTATGCAACATTAGACGCAACACGAACTCATTCTTTGACACTTTCTTTGTTTGCTGGTTTTTTTTTACAAATTCCCTACCTTGTTTCATGTTGAACCATGAAAACTGTTACACACTAATTTTAGAAACAATGTACGAGTCTTTTGTTTAAAATAGATCGATGTACGATTTATTTTTTCTTTCTGTCTTGTGTACATTTAGGACAATACCATTTTCCTTTAGGTTTTCGTAGTTAGTCCGACACAAGCAAAGTGGAACCATTCTATGGGGCACTGTTAAAACAAATACGACATTAATCGTCTGAAAAAAATGAAAAAGGTTAAAACTTTTCAAAATATACTTACGTCTGGATTATCGCAACCAATCATTTCTCCGTAGAAACTTGATGGCATAAACAGTAGGTTGGTTCGTTGGGATCGACTGGCATGTCCAGGACGTCCGCTGGGTGTCCAAGCGCCGTAGAATCAACTTGTGCACCGCTTCCTACAGCACCAGCAGATGAAGCAGAAGTAACAGATCCACCTACGACAGATAAACATAAAACAACAAATATATACTTTGGTTTTTTTTTATAAAGCGAGTGAAAATGTAAAATTCACCTTTCTTCTGCTTTTTCCTAGCAGTTTTCGATTCATCTTCGCTACTGGCCCCAGCAGCGCCTTTCTTTCGTTTTCTCCTTTTCCTTCAACTTCTTTCTGCCCTTTTTACTGGCATTGTTTTCCTCCTGAGCTCTACTATTGTTCAAAGCCTTGTCTTGTATCTCTGCTTCGAACCTTGCCAAATCCGAGTCTAACCTTCTAATATGTTTATCTACCAATTCGTAAGTTTGTATCGCCAACTGTACCTTATCGTCGCCATATTCTTTCGCCTTATTGAATAAATTCTGTATGTGAGTCAGTTGCTCCTTCTTCTTTTCCGGAGACTCTGTCTTCAAATTTTTTAAATAGTCGTCTGCTAATTTGTCTATGTCTTTCATCAATCCTTGCGCCCTTGCATCCAGATCTCGCATCAATGTGAAGTTTCTTTGCAACTCTATGGGTAGATGCTCTAAACCTGAATGGAAATAAAATTTGTGAAATATACTTTGCAGGCAATTAGAATTCTCTTTATAATTCATTGAGAATGTTCATTTTAATATATAGCAGTGAAAACTAATGAAATAATTGCTTATGTAAATTTTTGGTGTATGTAACCTTTATTGTACTGGGTTTTTTGTTTTGTACACACAAACAACATCTGTATCTGTACTGGAATTTGCATGCTGTGTACCTTTTCTTCGATTTATGTCTGTACTCGTTGCAAAACTTTTTGAGTGTTTCGATTTAGTGTTTACATCCGAAAGAAAGATTTGTGTGTTTTTTTTTTCTAATTGTTTGGGTGGAGGGGGGGGGGGGTTTTTTCTTTTTTTTTTTTTATTTTTTTTTTTTCTGTTTGTTTTTCTTTTTTTTTTTTTTTTTTTTTTTTTTTGTTTTTTTATTTTTTTATTTTATTTTTAATTTGTTGCTTTTGTTCTTATTTAATTTTCTTTATTTTCTCTTTTTTATATTTTATTTCTTATATTTTGATTTTTTTTTTAGTTTTTTTTTTTTATATTTTTGTGTTTGTGATGTGTGTTTTTTTTTTTTTTTTATTGTTATTTTGTTTTTCATTTTTTATTAATGATTGTTTTTTTTGGTTGGTGTGTTCTTTTTATTTTTAGTTTGTTTGTATACTTTTTTTGTTTGTTGGTTAGGATTTCTGTTTTATGGTTAAGCGTTTTTTTTGAGTTTTTTGCTGGGAGCGGGGGGGGCTGTGCTCTCCTTTTTTTCCCCTCCCCTCGTATTTCCCAGCTCCCTATGGCTTCACTCTCATGTTTTCCTCCGTTCGACTGATACGGAAATTAAGAAAAATTTGTTACGCTTAATGTGTCCGCGGAATGAATTTCAGTATCGAAATTTCTTCGGTCGATGTTAATAAA